TTTTATGACCAGCACCTGTAGACATACAACCCCTGGCAAAAAGCATGGAATCACCAGTCTTGGATGAGCACTGGTTCAGACATTTCATTCTGTAAAACAAACTCAGATCAAAAACATGATACAATAATAAGGTCATTCCAAGGTGCAACTTGTTGGTTTTCAGGAACACTCAAAGAAATGAAGAGAAAACATTGTGGAAGTCAGTGAATGTTACTTTTATTGACCAAGTACAGGGAAAAAAATATGGAATCAATTACGAGAAAAATCAAAGCATTATGGGAAACACATAAATGGTAAAAACACACAAACACATAATAAATAGTAGATAAATTTATATGTTGTAATCTTGTCTAGTTTTGGAGTGTCCAGGGTGTTCCCCACCTCTTACCGCTGGAGCTGGGCACCAGCTCCCCTGTGACCCTGCATAAGCCATGGATAGCTTTGGAGTTATGAGAAATTTATTATTGTATAGATTTGTCTTAACAAAATTGCATTGTCCTTGATCGCCCTGTGTCTCTATGTACAATAAATATCATATTTAAGTGTCAGGGTGTAAAAATAAAATAACGTGAACAAGTACCATCGTCAGAAAGATCAAATGAGGTTCAGCTGTGATGAGTGGTTCTGTCAGATTTAAAGAGTGACATCATTCAGCTGTTTGTTTGGGATGTGAGGGCGGGTGTGTTTCAGTGGGGCTTTTCTCAGCTTTGTGAGGCTCCTGTCTATAAATACCCTGGCTTACACACTGACTGACAAACGGAGACAGCTGCAGCCATCACCCTACCAGCCCGTTGAGACTCTTCGTGGCAATTTGAGCCACCTCGTGAACAGTCCTGCTTGTGAGCCCACCGATCTCAACCAGGACCAGGGAACGGAACAAAATGGCTGCTTTGACGATAGACCCCATGCAGCAACCTCGGATGTACCAACAGACTTTGCTTCAGGATGGACTATGTGACCTGTTGGAAAACGACAAGTTTGTGGACTGTGTCTTAAAGATTCAGGACAAGGAGTTCCCCTGCCACCGTTTGGTCCTGGCAGCCAGCAGCCCCTTCTTCAAGGCCATGTTCCTGTCAGAGCTGGAGGAGAGTAAAAACCGTGAGATAGTCCTAAAAGATGTCGACCCCAGTGTCATGGGGATGATCCTGCATTATTTATACACATCTGACATAAATCTGACAGAGCAGAATGTCCAGGATATCTTCATGGTTGCTAACATGTACCAGATCCCCTCCATCTTCTCAGTGTGTGTGTCCTATCTTCAGGAGAAGATGGTGCTGGGCAACTGCCTCGCCATCTTCAGACTGGGTCTTCTCCTGGACTGTCCGAGACTCACTCTGGAAGCCAGAGACTTCATCTGCGAACGCTTCCAGGTTGTGGTCAGGGACCCGGAGTTCTTGCAGCTCGCCCCCAGCGAGTTGGCCATCCTCATCACTTCAGATGCTCTAAATGTTGAGCAGGAGGAGCTGGTCTTTGAGTCACTGATGGACTGGGTCAAGCACGACGAGACCAAACGGTTGAAGGACCTGCCTGAGCTTTTGCACTGTGTGAGATTCAGGCTCATACCTGTGGATTACTTTAAAAATAAAGTAGAGCGTCACCAGTACATCCGGTTCAACCAGGAAATCCAGAAGGAGCTGGACCTTGTAAAAGATGCTCACAAGGGGCGTCTCCCCAAGCCCAAGAGGCTTAGCAGTGAAGGAGCAAAGGGAGGACAAGAGAGTGACGAGGAGGAGGAGGACGACGAAGGATACCTGCCTGGGATATTAAACAACAACCCTCGCTTTGGCATGTTTGAGTTAGACCTGATACTTATGATCAATACCACAGGTACTGTGGCTTATGAACCAGCAGGAAACGAATGCTTTGTGGTGTCCGAGTCAACAGAGATTCCCAAAACCCACTGCAGCCTGGTGACGAAGCAGAACCAGATATTTGTTGTTGGAGGCCTTCTCTACAATGAGGAGGATAAAGATGAACCTTTCAAGTCCTATTTCCTACAGGTAGAGTACCAGTCATTAGATCATCTGTTCATCACCCAAACCTAATCACAAAGTGTTGCTTATCTTCTCCCACGTGGCTGCTCTCATCCGTAGTTTGACCCAGTAAGTTCTGAATGGCTGGGAATGCCTTCACAGCCCAGCCCTCGCTGTCTGTTCGGCCTGGCGGATGTAGAAAACTCCATCTATGTTGTTGGTGGAAAGGAACTCAAGGACGGAGAACACGCTCTGGACTCAGTCATGATCTATGACAGACAGTAAGTTTGTACAGTACAATCCAGAGGACTCGTATTATATGATGTGTCCATTATCCAGGATTTTTTTAAAGAAAAATAAACTTTCTATATAAGACTCAGCTTTTGTTTAATTTGCTGTTACTGTTTGAAAAGTGTTGAAGGTTAGAAAACATGATGGTTAGATGAAATTTAATCAGTTGAGTGTTGAGATTTGAATCATCTTACCCACTCAGAATCTTTGCATATTCAGCCTGATGACTGATAAAATCAGAGCATAAAGATGTGTTGTTCTCTTTCTACACAGGTCATTTAAATGGGGAGAGTCTGACCCCCTGCCTTATGAAGTGTATGGTCATGGAACTGTATCACACAAGGGTCTGGTCTATGTTGTAGGGGGGAAGTCTGAGAGCAAGTAAGTTCTAYTTTATCACTGAAAACAACTTTTTCAAAAATCCTATTGAGTGACCCATTAATCCTCATCAGTCTTTAATTAGCTGTTAATGTGACTATACTACTACAAAATAATGATAATCACATGGAAATTAAAATATTGTTTATATTTTGTGGACTTAATCGCAAGATTTTATTTGTAAAAAGCAATAAAACGCAAATGAGACTGAATACAGTTCTTTGAGTGCTATAGAAAACAGTCCACAAAGGATAGACAGACAGACAGACAGACAGACAGACAGACAGACAGACAGACAGACAGACACACACACACACACACACACACACACACACTGCGATCCACAAAAAACAAAATATTTTGTAGCTCCCAAAGTGCAATTTAAATGAGATTATAAAATGAAAAAAATAAGATAAAAATTGAAAACATTGGACCATAAGTGTTTATCAACGTTATTGACAGTTTTCTATCGTTTTCAACTGCATGAGTGTAAATTTGTGAAGTGGTTCAGTTGTATTTTCCAGCCTGATGAGAATAAACTTTTATGAGGTGCCATAATCCTTGATTCTGAATAAAGTTGTAAAACTTGTGACTTGATATATTTGGGTGTATTAAACAAGACAAGGCATCAACTCCCACCTGATGGTCAAACCAACTCAATGAAAATGACAAACAAGTTTCACACGTCCTTGTGCAGATATTGTGTGTAARAGTTTTGATTTTCCAAGTTTAAACTTTCTTTCAGTTTTTATTGTCTGTGGTTCTTTTGATGTTTCAGGTGTCATTTATGCAGATATGAAAAAGTCTATCTCCCAAATGCTCCAAGTCCTTTGTGAGATTTAACTTAACCTTGTGTGTAAAACTGAATCCCAGCCAAACTAAAAGAAACTGTTAGTTTCCAAAGCTATAGATGCATCATACTCTTTTTCTAGTTCCGCAAACAAATCCTCAGTAATAAAATCCTATCTCGATCCCTTTAACAAATCATTTTATTTGCAGGAAATGCTTGAGAAGAGTCTGCGTCTACAACCCCTCGAAGTTTGAGTGGAAGGATCTGGCTCCTCTGAAAACGGCTCGCTCTCTGTTCGGTATCACCGTCCATGATGAGCAGATCTTCGTGGCTGCGGGGGTCACCGACTCAGGCCTCACCAGCGCTGTGGAGGTTTACGACATCACCACCAACAAGTGAGACCCGATTTTTGTGTGGCTTGTTATGAGGTGAAGCATTTGTCCACAGAGTGAAATGACTCGCAGACTGTGAAGTGTGGATCATTAAGTCATAAAATATTCCTTGATGCACAGGTGTGGTTGTTGTAGAGTGATACAGCTACTTTAACATCAACACAACCCTGTTTGTGTGTTTTTGTGTGTGGTTGGGTTACACTTCAGGTGGTCTGAGTTTACAGAGTTCCCTCAGGAGCGCAGCTCTCTTAACCTGATCTCCATGGGAGGATACCTGTATGCTGTGGGGGGCTTCGCCATGATGCCCAGTGAAACCAGTGAGAACTCTGTCCCCACAGAGATGACTGACATCTGGAGGTGAGAGCGACTGCACTGTTGTATAAAGGAAATATACAGTCATCTTTATAAATATTGGAACATCAACACAGCTGTCATCTTTTAGGCTGTGAACACCACCACAATAGAGTTAAAATAAAATGAACAAGATGTACTTTACCTGCAGACTTTCAGCTTTAATTTGAAAGTGTTTACATCCGAATCAGGTGAACGGCGTACAAATCAAAATACTTTGTAGGAAAGCCTCCTACTTTTTAAGGGACCAGAAGCAATGGGTCAAATTAACAATCAAACTTTCACTTTTCATTATTTGGCTGCAAATCCTTTGCAGCCTTGAATTTTAGAACACAGACATTTTCCGCTCAGTCTTGTCTTCAGCAAGTAAAATGCATGCTCTATCAGACTCAGTTCATGTGATTGACTTGGTCATTGCAAAACATTCCACTTCTTTGCCTTCCTTTGGCAGTGTTCTTAGGCTAATTGTCCATCTGCACTTTAAAGCGCCATCCATTGAGTTCTAAAGCATTTGACAGAATATGAGCAGATGACTTTGTCCCAGAATTCATCCTGCTGTTGTAATTCATAACCCCGATTCACCTGATTTGGATGTAAATATCTTTAAAGCTGAATGTCTGCAGTAAAACACATCTTGTTCATTTCATTTCAAATCCACTGTGGTGGCTTTTACAAATATYTATATATARTCAGTATATAAGAGTAGATTATAGTATAGATCAGTGGTTTTCAACCCTGGTCCTCAAGGCACACTGCCCTGCATGAGGTTTCCCTGCTTTGACACACCTGATTCAGATGATAGATGTTCTGATGTTGAACTGCAGTCAGTTACCAACTGAAATCAGCTGTGTTGAAGCAGGGAAACCTCTAAAACACGAAGGGTAATGTGTCTTGAGGACCAGGGTTGAAAAACACTGTTATAAATTATATTTCACAGTGCAATACTCCTCTATAACATGATTCAATAAGTATCCCAAACAAAGTCACAATTTTCATTAAGGTTTAAGTTTAAGTTGATTTATGAACCTTTAACTCAAGGGACCAAATTGTTTTTGAACTAGGAAACTCATGTCAGACTCCACACATCCAGGACATCTCTTTCAACTTCTCCCCTCCGGCAGGCGCCATAAAAACATCCAGACACAAAAACAGCTTCTTCCCTCAGGCCATCTCCCTGATAAACAATCCCAAACACTAGACCTGCTAACTAGTGCCTGACCTCCCCTTTTTACCACACACTCACCTGTGTACGCTTACTGTACATAAACTGTATATAATTCACAGACTATAATGTTTATGTCTTATGCTGTGCTTCCATCACTGTGTATATTGTATATAGTACTGAGATACTGTGCTTGAAGACCAGTCGGATCTGACATGCGTCTCTCCTGCAGATACGATGAATCAGAACAAAGCTGGAACGGGATTTTACGTGAGATTTGCTACGCAGAGGGATCCACCATCCTCCCGGTGCGTCTCAACACTCTTCGTCTCACTAAGTTATAACCCCACCAAGCTGCTGCTGCCGGGACTTTAATGTTGAATCATCTGCACTGGAGTAAATCAGGGAGCTCTGAGTGGACATCAGCTCAAAACTAACTCGGGTTCAGAATGAGTCAAGGTCATATCTGAACTCCATCTCAGCAAACAAGAACAAAACATGAGTTTTATGTTAGTGTTTCCAACAGGGGGAGACAGACACTCAGACCTGTCTGAGCAAAGCTGAGGACAACTTAGAACATCACACCAAATTTATTTGATACAAATCTAAAATTCTTGCTTTGTACATCTGTTTTTGGTACATGGTTGTAGTAAACTTCCTTACGTAATGCTTTAATCGAATGAAAATGATAAATATTGCTGTGTTCAGTGATGAGTCCCAGTGAGTGAGCAGGAATGAAACAGAAGCTCCAACCACAGAGCAAACATTTATATCCACCTTCATTTGTGCAAGAACATCTTTTTTTGTCTTACTGTACACACTGAACAGAACAAAATATTTCTTTGAAAGGCGCACAGCGACAAAAGACAGTCAGCTTTAGATTGACATTATGCAAAAAAAGCACAAGTGAGAATTGACAATCAGAATGTAAACATTGATTTCTAGTTGACACCTGAGAACTAAAATTAAAACCATAAACTTTTTTACAAATATTTACAGCAGAACATTATATACAGAAACTACGTGACATTTAGGTTGAGGTACTTTGCTTCATTATAATGTTATTTAATAGGATAATAAGAAGTAAAGAAAACAGAAATAAAATAAATCCCTACGAGACTTAGCTGTCAAAGCCTGTACATTTAAGGGCATGGTTTCTGATAAATGTTTGGATCTAATTTTGAATGAAACATGATGTCATTTAGCTCGACGAACTATAATTACACAAAAAAAAAGACGTGCACGGTCACTGGTATGCAAACATGTCAATGCTACACAGGATAAATGATAACCACATTCACAACAGAAGCTGCGCAGCTCTTAATAATCATTAATGATGTTATTTTTTTAAATCTCAAAAGGGATCATGAATGTCAGAAATAAACTATGTTGCTCAAAAAACATGACTTAAAACCACAAACATAAACTTAAACAAACTGAAGAAAAGGTTAAGGTTTCTCCTCTGGGAGCTGTAAACAGTGACCTGGTACAGTTTTTTTTTTTAACAATCGTGAAAGTATCTCCCTGGCTTGTGGCACAAAAACACAAATATTAAACATAAATACAATCAAGAAACCCATCCACGCACTCTAGTGAATAGAAGTTACTGTTATTTTTTAATTTATTTTATATACAGTGCTGTTTATCTGGAGCTGATGAGACACATCTGGTCCAGCTGTTCTGAGACCGCGCACTTAAATAAAACTAAAAGCCTCTGCTATCCGAGCTAAAGTTAACGAGCCAAAGCTGTGGTCTCTCTCCTCTGGAATGTTATCCAGCAGTAATTCAACAAAGTATAAAACTGTCACATACAGGATAGGAACATCCTGTATGTTGGTTACAATATGGACTCCTCCTCAGTGGCTACTGTCCAGAACAGCCTGATGTCCACACCATTCATCCACCATGCAGCATCGGACCACCAGGTTATAGTGATTGGACTTTTTCCTTGTAATAAATAATAAAAACTTCTCGGACACAGCTTTTCTCTGGCCTTTTTCGTCTTTTGCTTAGCTTCACGTGACAAACCAAGATTTCGTTTTCGTTTAGCGTTCAAGTCGACTCATACGGTTTCAGTAAAGCACAAAGCTTTTCTACAAGCTAATCTGCTTGTGTACCCGAGAGACTGAGATTACTTATTCGTCAATGTTGTCACTGATCCACGACTTTCCACTCTGGCAAGAAAAACAGAGCACTTGTCATTTTTACCAGGTGATGTATGAAATGACAACAAATCCAACGGGTTTTAGTATTTACACAGTATATCCTCACTGCGCCCAGTCGCCACTGCAGCTGCAGGGCACCGGAGTCGCACACCCATTGCATGTTGATGAAAGCAAGAGGTGAGTCAGTCTGCAGAGGGTTTCAGATTGCAGAGAGGTGCTCTTCACATGCAGAGGCTCGTCGTGTTGTGGGGCTACTTTTGGTCAACATGGTGATCTGGGTACTGAAGTTGTTGCCATTGCTACCGATGGACGGCTGCTGGTACTTAGTGTCAGCGCCCAGAAACCTTTGCAGCATCCATCTGCGCCACTTACGCTTCACCTCGGACTGCACCTGCAGGAGCCAAGAGGAACACAAACAGGACAAGGAGTGGTGTTTAAAAGGGTATGACACACAGCAGGTTGAGGGGTGTGGGGGGCAGATTTGGTGACATAAAAGGACAGCAAACATCGTGAAAAGCAGAGCTTTACTTGTGTTTACTCACCTCTCCGTTCAGGAAGCAGTACAAGATGGCAACAACAAAACCCTGCAGGAGAGACCAGAGGTCAGGGGAAGAGTTACTGTTGAAACGAGAGCTGCAGATAGCACAGCTGGGGAAATGCTCCAAATATTTTTCTATGAATAATGACAGTAAGATTATGACCAACTTCAGGCTCAGACAGGAGGTTCATCATGTTGATGTCTGGGACTTGTTCCCAGGAGAAATTATTTGGAGCCAAAATGGTTATAAATTGAAAATACTTTCCACTGCTAGGTTTCCATTTTTCTTTCCCACTTTGCTCTCAGCTTTTAGTTGAATACTCAGAAAAATCAGCCAATATAAAGCCAACATGAGATTCTAATACGGTGACTGCTGATTCAGCACTTTTTGTTTTTCTGGGATTATTTATTTATTTATTTATTTATTTATATTTCAATCTAACAATGTCTCTATATTTTTATTTTATCCATTCATATATCATTTTAACATTGTTTCCTTTAAAATCTGCTTTATTATACTTTCTCTAGTTTTGTCTTTGTAGTTTTTAGTTACCATTTTTTGCTTTTTTAGCATTTAGCTAGCCTTTTTCTATTTTAGCTTTTAGTTAACTTTATTCTATATAATGTTCAGTTTTGCTTGAATATCTGAAGTTCTTTGACTTTATTTATTTGGTATTCTCTTTTGCCATCTTTATTTGGAGTTCTGTTACTTGTYTTTACCTCCTACTTCAGATCATTGCTTGTTAGTTGTTCTGTTTCTCAGTGGTCCCTGTGCCATGCTTCATTTAACCTCAGTGTCAGTCTGCCACTCACATGTGTTGCCAATCTCTATTTTTTTGTTTGTTTTGTTTTTGTTATTTGAAGATTATTATTGTTTGAAGATTATTTTTTTGGAAAAAAAAAGGGTCAGATTTAATATTTTTTTCTTCTTCCTGTTGACTTTTATTTTATTTGTGATTAGTAGGCAATTTCTTGTTGTATATAGAATTTATTTTGTTTTTTAAATGAATAAACTTTATAAACTAAGCTAAACTAATCAGATCAGCTGCCTCCACCTTCATCAGCCTAGCTCTTTATATTCTGTCTCCTCCCAGCACCACCTCAGCAGGTCATTGTTTGCTTTCCAGCCATTAATCTCAGTCGTTTGCATGCTCTTCTTGTTCTTCCCCTTTGTTAACCCTGGGTTCTTTTTGCCTCCTTGTCAGCTTTTTGTTTTGTTYGATTTTGCCAGGCTTTTAATTATTTTAGTTTTTAGATAACGTGTTCCTCCTTTTAGCTTATGGCTATAGCCTTCTAATGTTTTAGCTAGTAGATATTAGTTAGCCGTATGTTACTTTTATCTTAAACTAGCCTTTCAATGTTTTTGGTCTCTAACATTTTTCTCCTTTAGCTAGCTTTCTAGTTTTTCTAGTTTTATTACTTTTAGCTAGTATATTGCCAGTGGCGCCTGAAGAAAATTTTTTCAGGGGGGGCCATGAGGCGGGCACTAAAAAACCAAGGGTGGCACACCAAAGCTAATATCTATAGCATAAATATTTATGATGTGTTTGTAATTTGTAAAAATGACAAATTGAAAACTATGGCAATATAAAGCTAGGATTTTTCCAGCTGATGTTCAATTTGTAATTTCACAGATAATGTCACTGATTTTATGACATTCAGAGACAAAAAACAAAAGTAAGTATTTGTAATGTTGGGGGGACCCACTGGCAGGGGGTTCTGGGGGGTCCTCCCCAGAAAAATTTTAAAGAAGTAAATGCCATTTCCTGCATTATGGTGTATTTTAACAGGTTGTTAAACAGCTTTTTACCCACATAGGAAAACACTGTTAAGCAAGAGAAACAACACTGGATGAACTAATGTTTTATGTGGAGGTTTAAATGAATTAAATTTTAAATTTGATGGGGAGAGTTCCCTTCAAAAATGATTGTCATTTTATTTAAACATTTCAAAATACATATTTTAAAGACATTTACAAGGAACAAGCTTTTTAAAATTTAAAGCCATGACCTCTTCTATGTATGTCAAAATAAAAAAATTTTTTGCTTGTTGATGTTTACTTTTGTGAAGAAAAACTGTGATTTTAAAAACCCAAAACTGGAAATAAAGACTAAAACAAGCACAATACAAACTAAAATCTACTGTAGTGTTGTCCCAAATTATTAAGTTATTTGCTTTTTATGTCATATAATAAATATGATTTTGGTCTGTGAGAGAAAACTGGAGTACCTGGAGAACAGAAAGTTGATCTAGCAACCTTCTTCCTTAGAGGCAATATGTTGCTCTACCAACTGTGCCACTGCACTGCCTAATTTTATATTTTTTATTTAATTATTAAAATTTGTTCATTTATATTTGATTAAAATATATCTATGGAGAACCTCCATCTTTATTGGAGAACATTGATTTTACACTGGTCTGATTGTCCTTATTCAGAGGTGCTACATTTTAACTTCAATAAAAATTTTTATTTTAAATAAAATATGAATTAATGTTTTTCACTAATAATTGTTTAAAAAAAACAGTGTTTGTTTTTATATTTATGAGGTTCCGTTCCTAAATAGGTAGGGGAATTGAAAAAGGAAAAACCTGGGTGCTCAAGAGGATAAAACGGGGGGGGGGGGGGACACACACTAGGGTGGCCAGCTAATTCTCAGGGCGGGCCATGGTCCCCCCGCTGGCGCCCCTGTGTATTGCTACTTTTATCTAGTTTTCTGTTTATTTTAGCTCATTGAATTTCAACATATTTAGTAAATTTCAGCAGTCATTTAGAACAGCATTCACACTGCTTTTTAAAATTATTCTCTAAACTTATATGGAGGCTAAATTAAAATTCCATACATTACATGAAAATGTGGTTTGCAGGCATTATGATATTATGTTATGTGTTTGTTACCTGGAATGATCCAAGAACAAGATCCACTACCATCCTCACTTGTGGATGGAGGTGATCAGGTATAAAGGCAAATATTATGTAGTTTATGCCAAAGAGAGGTATCAGCAGCAGTGTAGATTTAGCCAGTCTCCTAAAAGAGATTAGAAACAAAGAAAGAGTGAAGAAATGGAAGGCAGTAGCATGACTGTTACTTCATAAAAYCAAAAGGTCAAGGCTATATTTGTTTTTAAACAGAAGCTGTTGCTCAACACCAGCCCTCTAAAGCAGACAATAATTCACACAGCTGATAAGACTTAAATGTACATGTTGACACACACAAAAATAAAAACTTACGAGTACTGATTAGATTCCTTCCTTCCGATGTCGGGGCAATTCATTTTTTGTCGCAATATTCGGATTATACAAATAAAAAGGAAAAAGTTCACCTGCCGCAAGAACAGCAGACAGGTTATTGTTGCATCACGCAAAGCTTTTTGTAAGGTGTTACTATTAAAAAGGTGCCACGACTCACAAGAATAGCAGCTAAAATAGGCGTTTTGATGATCCACCAAGGGTTGTCATCAATTGTTTCCCAGCATCTGAAAGATAAAACAATTTTTTTATAAACCACAGCGTGTACAGCACAGCACTGTAGCTACCTAAACAAAAAGTTGGGAAATGTAAAAATTTTACTAACACAAAATCGGTTTTTTAAGCTCTCTAATTCATGTAAACATATGAGCTAATATAAAATTCAAATATGTGGATTTCAAAGACCTAAAATGACCAATTCATCTGTCCATTATTTTTTACCAACTTCTTCCTTTAACACGTTCTCACTCCTGATTCATCAACAAATTGACGCTTGATCAGGAGTCGTCTGTATCCAGTTTTGACGCSTGGGGTACCCCCGTCGGGTCAGTCATTGCCGCCCGCTGCTTTTCCMACTTGCGCCACATAMGGGTCTTTGGGTTGGGGGTCTGTGATTAAAATGAGGGATCAGGATTAATGGTTAATTTTAAAGGTACTGAGGTCAGGGATAGGCTATATATGGCTAATAGAAGTTAAATTTAGGGTCTGGGACAGTTAGTTGTCGCGCATTTCCTACTCTGTTCAAAAATACGACAACGCGCTCCTCCTCCTCCATCTCATCTCGTTAAGGACTGACGCGAGGGGGGTACCCGACACATCCAAACTGGAAGCAGACTGTACCTGACCAAGCATCAATATGTTGACGAGTCGGGAGTGAGAATGGGTTGCTTCCTTTCAGGGTCACTGGTGCCAATATCTAGCAGTCAGTGTGAGGAGTGGGGTACACAGCCTGGACAGGTCYCAAGTCCATCACAGGGAAACAGAAACAAACGAGACAGACAAACATTCACTCTCTCACTCACACCTAGGGTATATTTAGTTATTAATTAACCTAACAGTCATGTTTTTTGTTTGTGGGAGGAAAGTGCCTTGAGGAAATGCAACAGGCAAACTCTACCCAGAAAAGTTCCGGGTCGGGATCCGATCCAGTGACTTTCTTGCTGGGAGGCAACAGCTCTACCAGCTGAACCACCGTGCCGCCAGGTTAAAATGATGATTACATTAAAAAAATGTTTTTACATGTCTGGTGATATTATTTTTAACACAGTTTACAATGCTGCACTTTGTTTCTTATACGTTGGGTTATTAAAATATTTTATCAGGAAAAAATTTCACATAAAGCAATTTTTGTATGACTTTGCTTACATAGAATATAAGAACAGAAACAGCCTTTATTATTCCGGTGTAATAGCAGCAGCAGATAAATACATCAATCAATCCACAGAAACAGTCTATTACACTATACTATACAATATATTATTCCATTTGCAGAGTTAAAATGACCCTCGGGTTCTTTTATTAGCAGATCAAACAATGCTCAAGAAAGAATTTCCATATGTTCATAATGGGCTTCAAAAAACTGATACTAAAGGTATCAAACTGCATACTGACCATGGTGTTATAGTGCTCATATTAAAACACATTGGGCCCCTTACTGAATAAATGTTTGAGTTAATAGAACAACTTTTAAAGGGTTGTTTGTATATGCTGTTAAGTGCCAGGAGGACTGCGACCAGTTATACATCGGGGAAACAAAGCAGCCACTGTTCAAAAGAATGTCCCAACACAGACGAGCTACGTCTAATGGCCAGAACTCTGCAGTTTTCACTCATTTACAGGCCAGCGGTCACTCTTTCAGAGATGAGGATGTTCTCATTCTTGATAGAGAGGAACGTTGGTTTGAGAGAGGAGTAAAAGAAGCCATTTTGTGAAGAAAGACCGTCCATCTTTAAACAGAGGTGGAGGCCTCCGTTTTCAGTTGTCCCCCTCCTACAGCGCTGCCATTGGCAGTATCACTCCACCCCCTGTTAACAATAGGTGTTTATTAGGTGTCAACGATAGCCATGTGATGTGAGTATCAGTCACATGGAGGCAGGGCTTAAAAGCCTGAATTTTGCCTGAAACTCTCAGACTGAAGAAGTCTCTTGGAGGAGAGACGAAACCTTTCATTAGAGAAGAACCCGTCCAGAAGACCTATACAATTTTTTTCTTTTTGATTTTTTACCTGGATTACTGACATGCATCAGGACATTGTTTGTAGACTTTTGTGTTTTAGATGTATTATGTTTTATGTTTTATCATGACATTTTGGTGTTTGATTCTGTTCCTGTGTCTTCACAGTTTCTGCTCTCAGCGAGCATCTCAGTTACATCTGTTCCTTTTTCTTTGCTGCAGCCACTCTTCTCATCAGCTCTCAGTCCATATATCCTGTTGACTTCACCTCACATGCCAGTCTCACATTATGCATTTCACATGGTGTTCAGTCATCCTCATGTCACCTTTTGTTCCTTCCAGATTTTTTGTTTTGTTACAAAAAGCTTAGTTAAATTATGAGTTCTTCAAGTCAGTTTGCATTGCTGGGTCCAATCCAACTTCCTCAAACTGTGATCGACTAGATCTTGTCTCAGTAACTGCATCTAGTGTATGTTTAGTTCTGTTTGTTCATGAATATTTTACTATTAAAACTTATAAAATCACTTCCCCTTTTTAGACTAATGAAGCCTGCCGAATACACAAGCAGAAGGACTGACATTAACATGGACACTAGTTGTCTGGGTTTAAAATACTTTTGTGATTTTGTGGTTGTTTTTGTACGGAAGCGTAGAGCTGTCACATGACATAAAGTTATTTTTAAACTGGATCTCGTTATAACGAGAAAACTATCTTGAAAAAACGAGAAAACTATCTTGTTACATCAAGATAACCATCTCGTTATAACGTGTTATGGTTTCTTCTGTTTTGTCACTTTCACTGAAGTTTATTGCCTGGATGGCGTGATGGAGAACACGACTGAGCCACTATATGCCTTTTTACGAAGAATAAATCTGCAAGAGGACTAAAAACTGAAAGTAAGTTAGTACTGAATAATGGTTTTGAAATAATAGCGTCTGAATTCAGATTAGAGTGCATATCGCTAAAGTGCTACTAGCCGCAACGTTTGAGCACAAACCCAAATAATACATGTTCTGCTTGTTTTTGTTTGGTTCAATCCTGCTCTCCATCACGCCATCCAGGCAATAAACTTCCATGAAAGTTGCCAAACTAGAAGAAACCATAACACGTTATAACAAGATGGTTATCTTGATATAACAAGATAGTTTTCTCGTTTTTACATGACAGTGTTCTCGTTTGTACAAGATAGTTTCCTCTTTATAACGAGATCCAGTTTAAAAATAATTTCATGCCATGTGACAGCTCTACGCTTCCATTTTATTTTATTTTATTTTTTGTAGTAACATGCTGTACCAAATTATGTGAATAAACCCTAAATTTATTTTCATGAGTCCAATGTCCCAAACATTTTGCATTTCCAGAAACATCTCATCACACATCAGTAGCTGAGACAATTAATTTAGAACGAAGACAAAACTCACCCAGGATGATTTAAATAAGCCTTTGTAATAACCCAAGCAGAAATAAAGACAGTTGGAGCCCCTGTAAGTGAGAAAAAAAAGTGAGCTGTAAATTACATCAATGTCAACATAATGTGTGTGTTCAACAGAAAGAATCAATTATACTAACCCTGTTAAAAACATATTCAAGACAATCAAATAAGTCTAGGCTATTATTTTGAATGGATTCACAGCCAATGCATTATTTTATTTGGGACTCTCCTCATTGTTAACAGGACTCATACAGGAAGCGTTCTGTGCCAATACTGGTTCATCTTAGTCTGTACAGGAAAGTCACAGGTTCTTTCCTTTGTTCTGCTGCAAACACAGTTTTTACAGTCTATTTATAGTTATTTTCTTGGCATTGTGTGAAAAAAAACATGGTTACTGGACATTTTAACACCAGAAAAACAATATAATATAATATAACATAATATAATAT